TCCTCCTCCTCCTCCTCCTCCTCCTCCTCCTCCCCCTCCTCCTCTCATTATCTTCATATTTCCTGCCAAGTCCTCCATGGTCCCCTTTTGAATGCAGAGGAAGGTAACAGAGAAGATCACCTTCAGCCACCCTATCCTTAAACCAGAAAATCACAGCAGACTTGGATTGACACAAAGTAATCATACAACAGAAGGTTTAAAATGTCAAGACAAGCTAGGGAATGAGTTAGCTTTGGAACTGGACACAGTGGTTTTTACCAGTGTGGGTGGAAAGAGAAACATGCTTGCGGTTCTCAGAAGGGGCATTTTATTTGTCTGGAAGACTCAGATGTGCATTGACTTACAGTATATAGGGAATTCTAGAGTGAGAAATGTCTGTGCATGAGAAACTTTGGCTGGGCGAGGAATGCAGTATTTAAAACAGATCCCAGAAAACAGACATTAGGCCAAGACTACAACTCATAGACCTATCTTGTTTGTCCCGAAGTTAACTTTACAGAAATGTCACTTTACTTATGGTGAGAGGAGCCATTATCTCCCCTTCCAGAAGCCCCAGCCCCCTCCTGTTTTTCATCAAGTCACTGGTTTGTTTCACTTCCCTAGAACTCAGAGGCATTTGCCTCTGCCCGTGATTTTGACTTGGGTGTCACAAATCAGTGTTCCTGGAAAACAATACCAGCTCTAACTTTTACTGACCTGGCTCTGATTTTTTCCTTCCGGTGGCATTTCTAAAATGTGGTTGGTGGCAGCAGCCGAGAGGACTGGTCCAGCCTTCCTGTGAGCGTCCATTCCCTGCTGTTCCCGTTCCCTAATGACTGCCTTGCCTTTGGTCATTTTCTCCTCCAGCACAGTTTACAAGGTAGAATCCTGGGTCATTAAGAGAAGCCTTAGACCCGGGCTGCTCTCGACCTGGGTCAGAGAAGTTTCCTTTAGCAGTGGGCGGCCATCAACACAGTGGTCACGTCGCTAGTCAGAGTACTGAGAGTAAAGGGATTGAGTGTGCAGCCTTAAAGCGACATCTGTATCCCTCTCCACCCCTACCTCCCCCAACGAAGGCGCAGGGAACACCTCTAAAGAGAGCACGGAGACAACGTCCGAGCAGGCGGATGGGGACGAGCGCTGGGAAGTGTGTTCTGGACACGGCAGGGCTATGGCACCAGGAACCTACAGCAGCTGGGGCTACCGCACAGGGTCAAGCCAGCCCCAAATACAGCATAGATGTCGTGATTGCCCGGCCTGTCCCTTACTGAGGAGCTACTGGCGGTTGATAGCTGCTGGAGGAAGGGAGAATCGTTCATGTTTGAAGGTGTGGCTCCTGGAAGGATTCGCATTTTCCAGTGGATGGCCCCACACCCATGCACATATGGACAGCACGGGACGGGAGTCAGTGGTCGTTTAAAGAGAAAAAAGGCATGAAGTTGCCAGGGGTCCTGTTGGGAAGAACATGAGGGGAGTTGCATTGGGGAGATGGGGAAGAGATCCAGTCATATGTCGTTGTACATGTGTGAAATTCTCAGAATAAAAAAAAAGTTTAAAAATATGTAAAGAGAATAAAAGGAAATAAATAATAAAGACAAAATCAAGTTTACAAATAAGCCCTAATTCTCTCCCTCCTCTTGTGCTTGGATATGAATATTTTGGTTATTCCTAGAGTTTACCTAGGCTGCCATAGAAGGCATTCTCAGTTTTTATATTTGTTGGTTCATGATTTTTGCCTGTTCTGAAAACACTTGAGGCAGCTTGTGGTAGCAACGAGACAACTAAAAACAGGATCAGGGCCATTTAAAAACTCAATTCAGAGGACAAGAATCACTAGGGTTAATTTGTTACTTCAATCAGATATTTAACTTAACCCTGTGTCTCCTCAGATGAGTGGAAAATGGGGTATACAATTCTCTCTGTTCAATTGAGAGGAGCCACAAAGATTTAGGGACAGAGGCCACCTGTACTGACATTAACATCTAAGAGTATTTTGTTACATGGATTTACATAATTATTCCTGTCAACATTTTCGGCCCGCCTGTATTTACTGCTAAAAAAAAAAAAAAAAAGGATTACCAATGCTAGCCCCAATGTCCTGGATCCCGATGTACAAAGTTATGGATAAAGAGTAAGTATGCTTGAAAACACGTTATCCCTCTGATATATCCATGACAGATTGACCTCAGGACCCTCACCGACTCCCACATTAACGATGCACAATCCCCCCATATAAAATTACCAAGTTTTTGTATATAACTCCCACACATCTTTATATATCTTTCTATCATGTCTAAATTACTGGCAATACTTACTATAAAGAAAATATTATATAAGCAGTTATGTTTTGTTCTTTTGGGGGAAATGAAAAGGTCTGGACATGTTTAAAGCAGGTGAAAATTTCCTCCCCAAAAAAACTCTGGACCTGTAATTTGTTAAATCTGTGAAAATAGAACCCAGGAGATTTGACTGCATATGCTTTTGAAAATCTTTGACTGTTGATGGCCATACATTTAATATCCACAGGACAGAGATTCTAAGGCAGATCATGTTCAGAATAAAGTTTTCTGTGGATTTGGGATTCAGACACGTTTAAGGAAGTGGCAGCAGAACCGGAGAGTGTGTAGGAAGTACACCGGTAGCTCTCTGCTCTCCACACTGAAGCCCTTGCCTAAGCCACCCCATAGCTTTTGCCCATGTATTAGAAGGGCTAACCTCGCCCAATTGCTGCTCCAGAAAAGAGTCGTCCTTCCCTGAATAGCTCAAAAGGCCTCTGGGTATTTTCTCCATATGAGACGGTGTGATGGATGAAATGCCATTTCTGTGACTGCGAGGTGCAGGAGGAAACGAGGTCTGGTTGGTACGAAGTGGTGATTTACCTGGCACGGTCTTCCAGAGACCCCCTCAAGCCACCACTGGATCACACAGACACATTTCTCACTGAAGCTGTTTCCTCAAGCCTTATGAGGTATCCATCATCTTTCCGCCTCCTTTCCTTTTTTCTAAGAAACTTAGGGAGAAAATCAGAGACAGTTTGCTGCAACTTACTTTACTGGGATGTAGGGGGCATTGAGGTAGGGTCCCACAATGTAGGCCAAGCTAAACTTGAATTCCTGGCAATCCTCCTGCCTCATTCTTCCAAGTATAGGGATTTTTTTCTTACTTCTTGATTCCTAATGCAATAGATATTCTCTCATTCTCCCTCCAGGTACATTTGAAAAGTCACATGTATAGTCAAACACACAATTTGCACATATATTGTGGAATGTGTTTGGCACTAAATATATTATAGCATTATATTCTAAGTGACTTCAAATTCTTTTTGAAACTTAGGGGTATAAGATAAATTAAGTAAATAACAAGT